ATTTTCAAAGAATTCATTATAACTCTTGATTGCTCGAAAACCATTATAATTGACATAAATCAAATATCCTCTGAAAATCGATATTAAAAGTCTTGTATTTAAGTTGAAGTGTTGAAAAGAATGTTTGATTTTACATTTTAGTCATTCGAGTCTTTTGACAAACTAAAGAAATAATAAATTTATGATTTTTTACAAAGAAATTCCAACAAACACAGGCTACGAATGTATGAAAATTGATAAAAAATTACAAAAACTTAATTAAAAAACATTGTTTAGAAGGTTTAGTTTTCTCAAAGTAATGCTCTATAAAGTCAGTTTGTCATCCTGTACAGTAGTATTATTTTATGCTGAACACAGGCATTAACATTAACAAATGAAACCATTTTGAGCTACCTGCCCCATGATTGCCTTTGAAACTTCGGTCACATTTTTTACGCATCTTTCAACTGTCTGCGTAAGGCATGGAAAATGAGGAAATTTAATTATATGTGTTTCTTCCCTGCTATTAAATAATTTCAATTTATTATCAGACAAAAATTTTGTAACAGATGGCTCGGTTACTATACCCGATTGCCTGTTGATTAGCTCAATGAAATCTTCAGCACCCATGTTGAAAGTTGGTACCAGAAACACCTTGATTTCGTTTTTTGGTCTTTTTAACTACTTGTTTACTCGAGCTCACATTATTCGTCTCAGTCTCAGCTCTCGTAGATGTCTCCGGTTGTCAGTTATCATACTTAGAATAAAATTCTCAGGTCGACCAAAGAACCCATTAAATTGAAGTACTGGCTCAACAATGGTTTAAAAATTATGTAGTAAGTAGCATGCTTTCATGCTTTATGAATTGAAATCCGCAAGTGTAAAGCACTATCATTGCATGAAAGTTTTGCTTTAATCGTAAACCACCTTGGTGCATAGACTTTCATTATGAATTCAGCCACCACTTTGATTAACAGCTAAATGTATTGTAGCAATATACAATCTAAGGACTCTATTAGCCAGGATTACACAGCAAGAATTAACAAGTTTTCTTGGTTCTCTGTGAGACAAAGATGGTGAACAGAGACTACTTTTAACAGTAAAAAAAAAATATCATTCAGATACTGTTGATCTGAACTAAGATCAGCAATGCCCAAACTCCGAAAATCACAATCGAATTTTGAAAACTGTATTACGAGCAACTTCTTACAATTTGAGAATAAAGTGCCAACTGGTCCAGAGAAACTTCGTGGTCCTCTGGTGGCTTTATCAAGCTGTTCAAAGAGTGTCGTAATGGCAGTTCGTTTGTATAAAGCATGCAAACAAACGATTGAAATAAACGCTCAAGTTTCTCATCGAGAAGACCATTTGCACCATTATTCTTTCCAGAGTTCACAGCTGTTCCATCACATCCAACTGCCATGAGGTTGTCTGTGTTTACGTTGTTCTCTTGAATAAATGCCGCTATACTTTGAATTATTCTCTTACCCGGGCCGCTTTTTGTAGTCACATGGCCAAAGTAACTTGATCCTTGTTCTTGGACAAGAGAAATATGTTGTTCCACTGTTACTCTCCATTAAAATTTTCCGTTTATATTTTTATTCATTGTTGTTTTATCTTTCTAACCATCAAAAGTAAACGTCATTGACATGCTACTTCTGACAATCTCTCCTTTTACTATTTTGTTCCTGTCGATTATATTTGAATAAGATTTCATAATCTTGTAAAATAACTCATGTGATTTCAGCAACAGCTTGGTAAGAGAGTGCATATCAATCTTTAGCTTTTGCTACATTTTTAAATTCATTCCGTTGTTAAGAACTTGGTTTGAGATGTTCATCATGGTTTACAACTTCAAATTCAGTGTTCTTTTAGTTGGATTTGTTGTCAGACGATGAAGGGCTGCCGCAAAAACTATTGGCAGATTCTAGATCTAGCATAGTGTAAGATGGTGATTTTCGGCGTTCGTGTGCTTCTTTGCGCGCCTGTTCTTGACCTTGCCTCAAGAATTTTGTAGCATAACTTTTAACTGATCAGATAATCATCTTTTTTGTAGTCATCTTTTTTGTCATTTCCAGAAACTCTTGCTCAGACAATGGTACAACTTTTTTTCAAGAACAAAATGAGACAACTTTTTTTCAAGAACAAAATGAACATTTATCATGTTTGCAAACCGTCATGTGAAAAAGGCTATGTTTGGCATCTTCTCAAAAATTTGATATTTTAGCATATTGATCATTCATTTATATTTTGGATGTTAATTTTAATTAGTTTTAACCAACTTGGAACCAGTTTCAAATAATTTTTATGATAAGAGTTTATAATTTGCACAACACAAGTCTTTAAAACATTTAAAATACTTGCCCGATAACATATTTTATTGAATTTTGATGCCAGAATTTCCGATACCTCCGAGACGGTAGGTTCTTTTTGTGGACCCTTCTCATTTTTTAAGTCATGTTGAATCCACATGTGTTCCATAATCATATCCATTTGTGTTGGCAGCAAACTAAACTTCATTCGTTTTAGATAGCTAATATTGGGACCAGCAGGAGGTTTTCTCGATGCAACGTCCAACTTTGATGTCCTGTACCCACTTACAAGCAAAGTATAAAATTATGTGACCAAAACAATATTTACCGAGCAATAGAAGTTACACTTGAGTTTTTTGTACCATTTTAGTATCCCAAATTATGGAATTTAGGTAATTTTACTGAACCTAATTGCATGTAAGTTATTGAAAAATTATTTGGTAGCCTAAATTAGTAATGCTATAGTAAGGTATATCTAAACAGCAATATTTTACAAAAAAAAATTCATTTGTACATAAAAGATGAAAATTTAAACGTGCTCTGTTGTGTAGATATACAGTAAACATGACTTAATAATTTATACATTTTTAGAAACTAAAATGATATAGCGCTTTATTTTGTCTAATTTAACTATTTGAAAGTCATTAAATATCTTTAAAAAAATCATAAATAATACACAATTCATTTAAATTTTCAAAATGCAACAATGACTAAAATACTAATTCAAACATTCTTATCAACACTTCAATTTAAATAAATATTTTAGCAAATTTAGCAATTGAGACTTATTGCTTAGTATGAATTCTTTGAAAAATCACAACCTTATCAGTCCTTTGAATATTTAAATGATTTTTATATTGTTAGAATTGGATTTGAATGTACTTTCCAATAGTATAACACACTCTATAATAAAACATTTAGGAAAAATTATTTTGCAAAAAACATCGACTTTTTACAAAAAAAATTAAATTTTTATTAAACTAAATAACAGGTAGAGGGTAAAAAACCTTTTTACTTTTATTTTTCATTGTTGTTATGTCAAAGGTTAGAACTGTGATGTTGTTGAAAACACGTTCAGATAATAGTATCACGTCGTATAATAAAGAGTGTTTAATCGTTAGAGATTTTCTGAAGAGAAGTAAAAACGTAAAATTTGTAAGGAAAAAGAATCAAATGTACAAGAAGGCAAAAGAACTTTATTATGTTTAAACATGTGTTTAGTTTATATGAACATTTTAAAGTAGTTATAAATATTATTATTACAACTTGAATTTTATAAAAACTTTTTGAAAACTTGGCGTTGTTAAACCAAAACGTTCTCTGCAACGTTTTGGTTTTAACAACGCCAAGTTTTAACGTTTTAACTTAAAACTGCTGAATTAATTAATTTTTTTCTCCAAATAAGTTTGCTTGAACTTTGATACTGATGAATAAATAAGGAACATTAATGCTGATGAAAGAAGCAACTTGAACTTTATACCACTGAAAAATCAAAAACATTTTGATTTTTCTCTGTGTTATAAAGTTCAAGTTACTTTTTATTTAATTAAGTCAAAACCTTTTAATATTACGTAAACTAACCAATAAAATGCAACAATTTTAAACTGTTGGATGCCGATGTTGGACTGACTACCATTTTGACGGTGTCGGTTTGTAACATCGTCGGTTACTAACCATCAGCCAAACAAACTTTTAACGCCAACCCGACTTTGGCCCAACGTATGCGTGCTAGCTGGGAAGTCTAATGTTTTGTTTTCATACCACATATTATAAGCTAAAAAAGTTTACATTTTGGCACATTATACAATTCTACACTATTAGAATTGTATAACATTTCCAGATGATACAAATCTGTTTTATTCATCTTCTTCTGTATGTGACTTTTTTTAACAAAGTCAACATAGAGCTTCAACGTCAAAATACATCAGAGTACGTTAATATTATGACGTTGCCCGACGTCTTTTTATCGACGTTGGATCGATGTCAGTACTGCGACGTTTTTTGGACGTCTTTTACAAGATGTCGGAACAACGTCAAAATACATCGAAACGACGTCAGGGGATGTTGAGATAAAGACATCGCCCGACGTCATTTTACTGACATCGGAACAACGTCGGAATAGGTCTTTTGACATCGCTGATGAAAATCGCACGTAAATCCGACGTCGGATTGACGTCGGGTGCCCACTGGGTTATTTGGTTAAAATTTATCTGGTTTATTATAGTATTCAGTTAGTCTCAATACGATATTTGTCTAGTGACATATATGGTTTTTGTGCAACGTTTTTTTTCGCTATCATACATATTTTAATTATTTTAATGATTTTATGTTGCGCGGGTTGCTCGTTTACTTACACTTTTGATTGGTTAACAAATATGGAATGAGATATCTATGACAGCGTAAAAAAAAAAACTTAAAGAGGTATACTACTTTCAGATTGTCTTGGGTATATATATGCTAAAAGTACATATTTGGTTTTATATGCCTTAAAATTAAATTTATTAGTGTTTTTGGTTTGCTATAAGAATTATTTGTTATAAATAATAGATTATCAATACAACTTATCTTTTCTTTGCTATTTCATTTTTTACCATATTTTTTATATATTTCAATTTATTACCCAAATGAATTTTTTTTATACTAATAACGAAATTCACCGATGAGTAATACTACCAATTATATATGTTTATTAGATAAATAAAATATTACCAGAAACTGTTTTTGTTCTTCTTGATGTTGTTATTTGCGTTGTTTGACCTAAAAAAAAATTAATGACAGAATTCTTTTATTAACAATATAAAAATAAGAGTAATTACTTCCTAAATTCGAAAGTTTTAAAAATAACTTTATTTTTCATGTTTTAGCAAAAGTAGTTTGCTTTTGTGTAACAGACAAAAGCAAACTACTTTTGCTAAACTAATTATATTTTTATATAATACTCATAGCTTTTTTTTATTTGCAAAGGCAAAATTTGCCTAATACAACAAAACTAGACATAGTTTATGGATTTTTTAACTCTTCATTCATGACTTCAATTAGTTTTCATTAAAAAAAAATTCAAATTTTTACCTCAAGTTTATTGGAAAACAGAAAATATGTCCAATAAAATAAATTGATGAATAAGAATGTTTTTTTGAATAAAAAGTTTAAAGCTAATCTGCTACATTATTATGAGGTTAAACTTAAAGTTTAATGAAATATTTCACTGCAATTTTTGCGTTTCGTTATATAAAAATTTAAAATGCACTGGGTACATTTGCATTATTGTCTATTCACTAGATCACTCAAAAGTGATCTAGTGACCATCTTGTTCTGTTCAAACATAATATGGTAACGATTTTGCTGCTTGCCCAATATGTCTCTTTTCTTCCTAAGACTTTTTATTTTCAATGAGTTTTTAATACTACATCTTTAGAACTTTTTTTCCCAACTGTCTCATTATAGGAAAATAGGGAAACTTCATTAGTTCTAAGGTTCTGAATATTAAAAGTGTACAGAGAAAGTTTTCTTCTGTAATATGTGTCATTGGTTGTTAAATTAGAACAAGGAAAATTCTTCAAAAAATCAAAGGCAACTGGAGCAAACGAGGTTGAAGAGTGTGTTTAATTTATAGAAGCAGTCTTTCTTTCATAAAATACATATCTTTTTTCCAGTGAAGCTCTCGAATAACTAAAGGATTTGGAGTTCATCTTGAAAGTTACTTTTTGACATCTCAATTTTAAATCTATCGAATGTTGAAAAAGTGTCTTTTGTTGTATACCCAAAAATAATGTTAAATTTCTCAGTAAAGATCGATGTAATAAAAAAAAAGAAAAAACACTAGTAAAGTTTCACACAGAATACCAAAAATAACAAACAAACTTAGAATAACCAAAATTTTTAAAAACAAAGTAAAAAAAACAGCTTTAAAACGATATAATAAATTGATTATTTACTTTTTATCTGTTGAAAGTGAAACAAAGTAAACTTCCTCTGGAACATGATTCAGTACTATGTACATTGAATGCATCTTGCTATTTTATACATTTCAGCACTATGTACATTAAACGCATCTTGCTAAGATTTAAATCTTCTGGAATGTACAGTTTTCTAGAATCTTTGTGAAAGTAATAAGACTTTTGTCCTCTAAGAGATCGAATATAATTTATAATACTATTATTCTTTTCTCGTGAAAATGAAAGAAATATAAAAGAAATGAATAGTAACAAACTTGATTTTTCACTTGGGAGTCTTTTACAATTAATCAGTTGTACTGATATAAATAGTTGTGTGAATCACCCTCATCGTTTGCTTTTCAAGGTCTTTTTTGTTTTACTTCAATTGGAGATATCATCAAAGCTAACATTTCTATATTCAAATAACATGTAAAGATCAGATTCTTGCTGGTCTTTACATGTTATTTGATTAAATTTGTAAAAAAAACTTTGATTATCTTGCTAACTAACAAATTCAAAACATTTTAAACGAATACAGTTGCAAAACTTGCCCATTATATGGCTTAAAGATTCCATTTTTTTCATGTTAGCTCGTTTTTCGCCATTTGTTTGACGGATTTTAGGGTTTTTTTGTTATTTCTAGATGCATGTCCGCCATGTATATTTGCCACATTTTTGCTAATGAAAACAACAAACTTGTGACATTCCCGCTTGCAACATTAGAACATACACTGTTATTTCAAAACAGGGGTATTATCTCATCACTAAATTAGACCATTAATTTTTATTTATTTGCTTCAAAATAACACTGAAGGTAGTTTATAAGTTGTAAACATGTTAATAAAAAAATCTCAATTTATATATATATATATATATATATATATATATATATATATATATATATATATATATATATATATATAAATATATATATATATATATATATATATATATATATATATATATATATATATATATATATATATATATATATATATATATATGTATATATATATATATATATATATATATATATATATATATATATATATATATATATATATATATATATATATATATATATATATATATATATATATATATATATATATATATATATATATATATATATATACTTAATTGGTACAAATTTAATATTTTTAGATTCATAAACATGTTCTAGAATGTGAGAGGCGGTGTGCATTTGAAAATAGTTTGATTGTATGTCTTTGTTTGCTAAATAGCTTTTTTGTCTTTGTTTTATTGGTGCTGCACCAAGCAATGTTTGCATAATTAAGATAGGAATGAATAAATGAGTAATATATGTATTTCAAACATAAATGATCTGCGTTTGGTTTTGTTTTATAGAGTAATCCGATATTTTTAGAAATTTTATTTTCAATCATGTTTATGTGGTCTTTCCAGTTTATGTTTTCATATAATATTACACCTAAAAACTTCATTGAACATTCTCTTTTTACAATGCATTCCCCAATAATAGGTTTTGTAAGTGCAATAAAGATTTTAACTTTTTTATGGAGGCAATGAAAAATAGTATACTTGTTTTAGTTAAATTAATTGAAAGTTTATTCATATTTAACCATTCGGTTGGTTTTAGAAGTTCAATGTTGACCGTTTTAAATAATGTTGTTGTATCACTATGAGAATAAAATGAATTTGTGTCATCAGCAAATAATATAGAATCTAGAATAATAGAAGCTTTGATTAAATCATTAATATAGATTAAAAATAAAAGTAGTCCTAATATAGATCCTTGAAGAACGCTGTAAGTAATTGTCAGATTATTAGTTTTTTCATTGCCAAATGAAATATATAGTTTTCTGTTTTGAAATATATAGTTGCCAAATGAAATATATAGTTTTCTATGAGATAAGTAGCTTTTGAACCAAGCTATGTTATAATTTTAATTCCATAGTTTTCAAGTTTTATTATTAAAATACTAAAATCAATAGTGTCGAATGCCTCACTAAGATCTATGAAAACACTTAAAGTGAACTTATTTTTCTCAAAACCTTGAAAAATAATCTGAATCAGATGAAGAATGGCATGATCAGTAGAGTGCCCTGTTTTGAAGCCAAATTGTTTGTTATAAAGAATATTATTTTTTTCTAAAAATAGTTGTAGTATTTTCGAGAAGCAAAGAAGTATGGAAATAGATCTTAAGTTTGAGATATTATTATCATCTCCAGATTTAAAAACTGGTATTACCCTTACAACTTTAAATTTTTTGGAAAGATTCCTTGTTCAAATGAAAGGGTAAATATATGCAAAAGAACTTTTTTAATATAGAAAATACATTTAGTTACAACATTACTATCAACATTACCAAGTCCTTGTGCTTTGTTTAGTTTTAATGAACGCACAGCATCTAATAATTCTTTTTCACTTAACTCAGCATTTTCCAATATTGATTTAAAAGGAGTCAAGTATTTCTCCTTTTTAAACTCATTGTGTTTTAATTTTGATGCTATATTTAAACCTGCATTAAAAAGCACCTCATTAAATATTTTTGCAATTATAGATTCTATCGTAATATCTTGATGATGATGACAATTTAGCTTTTTTGGAAGACAATTTAGCTTAGGTGTTTTTTTTCCATACTTTAATGACTTGTCACGTTTTATGAGAATCGCCTTTTAATTTTATTATTTTATTTGAATAGTATAACTTCTTTAAAAGTTTTATAATTGATTCAAAGTGACCTTTATATTTTATATACCGTAATTCATTTTCATAAGTTCTTTTTTTCAGAATCACTTCATACAATCGTTTCTCTTTGGGTGATTTTATTATTCCTAATGTAATCCAAACGTTTATAAATATTTTAGTTTTAATAATTTTTATTACCACTGGGAAAGCATTATAATATTCTTTTTTGAATATCAAAAAAAAAAACTGTTATAAGCAGTATCTGTGTTTTGAATTTGCAAAATTTCGTCCCAGTTTTCAGAAAATAGAGAATTATTATAAAGTTCCATAGAAATGTCATTATATATTCGATTTGTAATAATTATTTTTTTTTGGAGGAGTAATTTTAAAATTAGTTTCGACACTATATAAAAAATCTTCAAATTTATCAAAATATTTTTGAAAGCTCTGAATACTTAAGTGTAATATAAAGAATTCATTATTTTCTATATCAGCAGAAAGATTAGAAATATAGGAACTAAAATAAGAAGGGCAATTGTTGCTAATTATTTCATCAGTAATAAAAAAATTAAAATCTGGATCTGGATAATTATCTAAAAGTAAATTTTTAATTGTCTGGAAAGCCTTAAAACTTAATTCACAAAAGTTCATGTCTTCCATAACAACAAGAAAGGTAATAATAACAAAATATTTAAAGTGTAAAGTAATTAATGTTTAGTAGGAATTTCCTGAATTCTTTTACTATTAATTTATCGTAAATTACAACCAAAAACATACCATTTTTTTCTATGTACCTTCATTTGTTCGAATAGTTTTTTCCTGATAGATACAGTTTCCATTGATAAAACTTATTGATATATATTCCAGATCCTTTTAATTTACTCGCACTTTTTAAAACTTTTACTTCATTCTGTAATTTATCAGTTATACCCTTTATAAAAGACTCTCTTTTTTTAAATATTTTTAACTAATCAATTCGAACAGGAGTTGTCCCAGAAAAACTAAAGTTAGCAAAAGTTTTACCAATATTTAAAACTGGATACACGGTATCACTAACCAATTACAGAACTATTTCAATTCTCACCAAGATAGCATGAACACGTTGGCCTGACGTCGGGCCAACATGTTTTATACCAGCTAAAAAAATTACGTCGGCATAACTTAGGAAATGCTATGTTTTAAATGTGCGTTGTGGTTTTCTGCGCTTAATTTACTCAATAATTGAGTAAATAAAGGGCAGAAAACCACAATGCCCATTTAAAACATAGTTATGCTAAAGTAAATTTTCTAGCCAAATACAACACGTCGGCTGGACGTCGGGCCAACGTGTGGTAGTTTTCTCGTGTTAATTTTTAAACTAATGAACAGTTATTGTTCCGTTGTTTAAAATAATTAGCCTAATATAATAATATTTATCCAATTATTTTAAGTATAATTTTTTTATTATTTCTATTTTTATTGTTTTGTTGCAAAAACTTACTTCTATACTTAATAAATAATGTACACAATTAAAATATTTAAACATAGTATTTATGACTAGAGTAAATAGTTGGTAAAAAAATGTTACTTACGGTCAGCCTTTTTAGTCAAAACTGTGAAAGAAAAATTGTTGGCAAACTTTTGATCAAAATATTTAATTTATTACTTTTTTTTTTCATTACGTTTTTTTTTTTACGTTTTCATATACTTTTTTTATAGTTTTTTTTTTTTACGATTTTTGCGTTGTTTTTATTACATTTTTTAATTAAGTTTAAGCATTGTAAGTATCAGATATGGAAGTGAACCACGCTCAATAATTTTGCGTGCATTTGTTAAAAACCTTTTACTTGATTTACAAAACAGTTATTTATAATTTTAGAGGTCTTTTTTTTATTTTTAACGACGCTATGGTAATTTGGTTAAATATACTTTTGAAAACAAACTGTTTGTTATAAAAGTTACACACCCAACATAAGACGTTTTTAAGACATCTTTAACTTATCTTTAACTCGTCTAGACGTCTTTAGCTAATATAAAACGTTTTAAAGACGTTTTTATTAGACGTCTTTAAGACGTCTTCGAACAAATTGTCTTAAAGGCAGCTTTGATAAGAATAACTAGTTTAAGACGTCTTAAAGACATATTAACAAGACATCTTTCGGAACATCCAGTTTAAGACGTCTTTAATATCGTCTTATTTACGGAGTAATTACGGAGTACGAATATTAATTACAGAAATCAATTTTAATGCCTGAAAAGTAAAGAACGGTAATTATATAGTTACCAGCTTCTTTTTGCATAATTTTAATTTTTCAATAAAATTTCAATACAATAAAATTATTATTTGTTAAAAACGTTAAAATAGTTACTCGTTTTAATTCGTTCAAAATAGTTGTTAAGAATATGTCTACATCAATGAAAGGTTTTTTAAAGAATTGAAGAAAATTAAATAAATCAGTTTTAGAAGAAGCTCGAGAGGAAAGTGATGTGCGTTTTAACGTAAAATGTGCACAATTTCAAGAAAAAGAACATTATTTTCATACTAGCAGTTAGAGTTGTAGTCATTTACCTGTGGAAGAAAACACGGAAGTAGAGTCGAGCGATTCACCTAAATATTGCTCTGGCAGTTCTAGTGACAGTAGTTCTTTTAATCCATCTTCCAGTAAAGAAAACCTTGCATCCTGGTGTCTAAAGTTTAATTGTTCTCAAGCAGCACTTGATATACTTCGAAGACATGTTAACACGCTATCCAAAGATGCAAGAACGCTTTTAAAAGTACCGCAAGAAGTTCAGTGTGTTCGAAAATGTAGTTGTACATATTACTATTTTGGATTAGAATCCGGTATCAAAAACAGTTTCACAGGTTCTGAGTGTGAAATACCACTTAGTTTTAGTATTGATGGATTACCTTTATTTAAATCATCCAATACTTAAATGTGGCCGATTATTTGTGAAGTGAGTTGTGGAAAGATTTCTATTGTAGCAATATACACAGGGAAACAAAAACTATCAAGTTTAAATGTTTTTTCAGATGATTTTTTAAAGGAATTGTGTTGTTTAAAATTATCTAGTATCACAATAAAATCGCTTGTACACACTGTTAAAGTTAGAGCTTTTCTCTGTGATGCCCCAGCAATTTTATATTTAAAAGGGACTGTTGGGCATACTGGATATTATTCCTGTGAAAGGTGCATTATCAAAGGTTCCTGGGAAGGGAGGGTAGTGTTTAATGAAGAGCAAAAATTTCTCAAGCGAACAGAAGAAGATTGTAGCTGCCAATAAGATAAGCAATATCATAAATATAAGTCTCCTCTTATAGCTGCTGGTATTAAATGTGGTTCTGGATTCTGCCTCGACTATATGCATTTGATATTTTTTAGGGTTGTTAAAAGAATCCTGAATTATTTCCGAAAAGATCCTATGGCTAGGCTGTCACAAGCACACATATTACAGATATTCAAGAGAATAATTGAATTTAGAAATTACATTCCTAGTGATTTTGCTAGAAGGCCATGATCATTACTTGATGTTGATAAGTGGAAAGCAACTGAATTAAGACAAGTTCTTCTATACACTGGTCCAGTTTCTTTAAAAGGAATTGTTTCTAAACTTGTCTATGAACATTTTCTTTCCCTATCAATTTCAGTATTAATTCTGGTGCATCCAAATAGTAACCTTCGTAAAAGCTTTTTTCCTTACTGTAAAGAAATATTTTATTTTACTGCTTAAATATTTTGTGAACAATTGTAAAGAAATTTTTGGTCAAATATTTACTGTATATATTATTCACAGTTTAATGCAAATATGTGATGACGTAGAAAATTTTAATTGCTCATTAAACAAATATCTTATTTTTCGTTTGAAAATTATTTGCACAAGCTAAAAAGAGTTGTAAGAAAGGCCAACAATCCAACTGCACAAATAATAAAGCAAGTCATCAGTGAAGAAAATAATTATGATGACAATTTCATATCGAGTATAAAAAAAGTTGCTTCAATTAGCCGAGATGATTGTTTTTTTACTGAAGATGGAAAAGTTGTTTTTGTTAGATTTGTAAACAGGAAGGTTACAGGTACGTTGATTTATAATTCTACAAGCGGAAAGTATGTTTTATGTTTAAAAATTATAATAAAAAATTATTTTATATATATTTTTACTCTTGTTTTAGATAATAATCAGATAGTAGCAAACAAGGAAAACAGAGAAGGACAAAGTTGGTAAGAGACTGTTATTATTTGTGGAAAAATTTATTTATCATTATTAAAATTAATTAAGATAAACAAATGAACTTATTTAATTTAATTATGTCTAGTAAATGTTTCTCTTTGATTTTTGGTTGTGATAGATTGTTTGTGTTAGTTTTGTTTTAATAAGATTTATATATTTTTGATATTAGCCAAGATGGATACATGTTTCTCTGAAATACTTTGAAAAGGTTGCTTATGTCGGAGTTAAACCCTAGATTAGTACTATTGATTTTAAATATTCTATCGACTAAGCATTTGATAAGACTGACTCTGTACGAAAGCGGAGTGAAACTATAAGAATTGGAGTGTAGACCAGAGTAGGTTTTTTTATAAAAAAAACTGTAGTAGTTACTGTAGAATTTATATTGGGTAAAGTTGCGTCCAAGAAAAATATTTTCAAATTCACTTCTTGTTCCAAGGTGAAAGAAATAGAACTCTGTGTATATATATATATATATATATATATATATATATATATATATATATATATATATATATATATATATATATATATATATATATATATATATATATATATATATATATATATATATATATTAAAAGAGAGAGAGAGACAGAGACAGAGACAGAGAGAGAGATAGAAAGAGAGAGAGAGAGATCATTAAATTTAAAAATAAGTATGTTGTTTTGAAATTTTTTTGACTATTTTAACATTAACAAAAATTATCGAAATACTGAAGTCCTATAAAAAATAACACAATATAATTCAGACATTATCGCTATAAGTGCTGCCAATACTCCTCAGGAGAATGTTGTTTTTCCAATGGATCAAGGGAGTAAGCATTTTTGCTTCATTTTATCACTTTAATAAGGAATATGATAGATATTGATGAAGTTCAATGTTAAGATGATAAATTAATCTCTTTATCAGCGTTGTCTAAACTAAAGAGACTGATTTGTAGTGAATAGCAATATGAACATAAGTTTCACGGGATTATTTTTTAATTCCCGCCCCTTCTTGTAAAAACAATTGAGTATATACTAATTTACATATAATCTATACTTTAGAGTTCTAAAGAAGGGTGTTGTATAAACTTGATCAACTATTAGAGGAAAATTGGTGAAAAACAATGAACAATGAGAACGAAATTGATAAAATATCTTTTATTATACAAACACACTTTTAGTTAATGCCCCAAAAATAAAATAAACTAAAAATTAACTTGAAGACTGTTTAATAATTTACACCACTGTTATGTGACTGTTTTACTTTTTATCAAAACAACTATAACATTTTTGAACCAAAGATATATTAAAAAAATAGATTGTAATTAAATTTGTTTTTAGATTGAAAGGATGAGTAAAACTGTAGGCGCCAACACAGGTGACTGTACTCGAACGATTATGCCGTGGTAAGAATGCTTTGTTCATTGATTAAGAATGAAAAAACATAGCTATTTTAAATAAAAAATAGCCTAAAATAATTTAGGCTATTTTTTACAACTGATTATTTATCCTGGCGTTAACATGAAGCAACTTGGATTACATGTTGCCAGTAAGATTTATATATTTTCGATATTAGCCAGACCAAATCCAGACCAAAGCTTTATTAGTTTAGCTTTAAAAACATTTATTTATATTTTTACAGACAAATTGATTTTTGCTCATCACAATTCAAATGTCACTTAAAGTTAGGGCTAATATAATGCTATTAAGAAAACATGTTTTCCTTAGAAATTTTAATAATCGTCAGTTTTCTGAACTATGTATTTACCTCCTGATTTTTTAGTATGTTGGTTTATTTCCTTATGAGAAATTTCAATATGGATGGGCAGAGAGGCAGAAAATGAAGTTTTAAAGAAACCAATGTGTGATTGGTAAGTGTCTTCTAATGCTATTGTTTTTCAAAAAACAATTATTTTTTAGACCTTTTATTTTTTTAATAATTTTCTTTTATTAGGGTCTGTCCTAGTGAGATATCCAAAAGATTCAGAGAAAACAGTTCATCAGTTTATTCAAGGAATTTTAAAAAACGCACCAGCATCACAGAAATCGGAATAAAAATATAATCATGTACGTTTTATTGTTGATGCTGTAAAAATTATTTTTGATAGTAAATCGTTTCTCTTTTTTTCTTTTATTGCATTTGAATAGTTGTATGTGTGTATATATATATATATATATATATATATATATATATATATATATATATATATATATATATATATATATATATATATATATATATATATATATACATATATATATATATATATATATATATATATATATATATATATATATATATATATATATATATATATATATATATATATATATGTATATATATATATATATAAATTTATATATATATATATATATCAGTGGCAAATTTAGTATAAAGCGTTGGGGGGGGGGGCAAGCTGCCCCCTACGCCCCCCTAGAACGGTCTAACCGCAACCTAAAACAATCTAAAAAAAAAAAAAAATATAAAAAATCAAATTACCCCTATTCGTTGACTTGGCCTCCCCGCGACACTAAACCTCAATCCGCCACTGATATATATATATATATATATATATATATATATATATATATATATATATATATATATATATATATATTATTATACATAATAGTGGTATGTGTGTATATATATATATATATATATATATTATACATAATAGTGGTATGTGTGTATATATATATATATATATATATATATATATATATATATATATATATATATATATATATATATATATATATATATATATATATATATATATATATATATGTATATATGTATATATATATATATATATATATATATATATATATATATATACACATATATATATATATATATATATATATATATATATATACATATATATATATATATATATATATATATATATATATATATATATATATATATATATATATATATATATATATATATATATATATATATATATATATATATATATATATATATATATATATATTTATATATATATATATATATATATATATATATATATATATATATATATACACACATACCACTATTATGTATAATAGTTGTATGTGTGTACAATATACATAGTCTTTTAAAAAAAAAATAACTATATATACATTGTCTTTAAAAGATTAATTATCTTTGCAAAACGTCTTAACTTTAGTTTAGACGTTTTGCTAAATGACTTGAAGACGTTTTAATTAAGACAACTTCAAGGCGTCTTTAAAAAACATCTTAGAGTATTTAGTTTTAAACCAGTTAAAAACGTTTTAAAAACGTCTATGGTAATTATGATATTTACTTTTTTTCATTTTTTATGCATTTTCAAGAAATGCCTAATGGATAATTTTTTTATAACATTACAACAATGATAATTTTTTTATAACATTACAACCTGAATTAAGTCGTTTTATAACTATTCTTTTAATTCTTTTTAACAAATGGAGAGATTCTGGTTTTTTAAAAGATTTAAACTCCCTAACCTTCAATCGTTACCTAATGGCTCGTAAAAGTTTTCGCAAAGCCGTCAAGTTGGCTCAAAATAAAAATTTGCGCACAGTATACTAAAATTGAAAAGTTAAAAAAAATTAGACCAAAAAACTTTTGGAAGGCTTTTAGGTGTTTAAACAAAGACATAAACTCTAGATTATTTACCATAAATAATAAAAAAGACAAAGAATCCATTACTTCAGATTTTGCAAACCACTTCGAAAAAGTACTAAATACTTCAAAAATAATACATCGCAATGAAAATCATCGGAGAGTTCCCCTGTGTACAAAACATGATGATGTTACAATAACTGAAGAAAATATAATTAGGGCTATTTCAAACCTAAAATCTAAAAAATCTCCTGACTCTTTCGGTGTCTCAGCAGAACATTTGAAATACGCAAATTGTGATACTTTAACAAAATGGCTCATCAAATTTTTTAATTATTTCATTAATTATGGGTGGACACCATTATCAATGTCAACGTCTATTATTATAACTCTTGTTAAATCGTATAAAAAATCTTAAAATAGCCCGAGCAATTATCGCGGTATTAGCATTATACCAATTTTTACAAAGATTCTAGAATACCTAATCCTTATTCTATGTCCGGATATTAGAGATACTCACCCCCTACAATTTGGATTCAATGCTAACTGTTCAACGCTACATGCTGAATTTCTAATTAGCGAAACAATTAAACATTACGATAGCAACAACTCACCTGTATACCTATGCTCTTTAGATGTAGAGAAAGCTTTTGATAGCTGCAACTGGGATATCCTATTTGATAAATTATATTTTGATAAAAAACTACCAGTCTGTATAGTTAACACTATCTCTTCGTTATATAACAATAGTAGTGCAACAGTCTCATATCAAGGTTGTAGATTAAACTCCTTTCTTCTAAAGCAAGGAGTAAGACAAGGATCGATTCTTTCACCTCACCTATATAATATTTACACTGAAAGTCTTCTTGAAACTATTACAAATCAAGGTATAGCTGGCACATCTATATATCGTAACTTCACTGGTGTGGTGGCATATGCGGATGATATCATACTTTTAAGCTCTACCCTCTCTGGTCTTAAAAAGCTGATAAAAACATGCAATATTTACAGTAATTTAAATTGTATTAAAATAAATGCCGAAAAAACTGAATTCTTGATTTCAGGTAAAGCACAAATACAAACCAATACGATAACGATTTCTAGTAATAAAATAAATCTTCAGAATTAACTTAGACATCTGGGATTCACATGGGATAATAAACATTCAACTTTTGCTTCACTCAATAATGCAAATGTTGATGAAAAAATTTCAAACTTTAGGGCTATAGTTCAAACTCTTATTCAATCTGGAATCCGGTTTGCCCACCCAAGTTCTATTTCCTATATATATAAATTATTGGCCGTCCCTACCTTAACTTATGGTATGGAGATATGTGAAAATAATTCTGCTTTGATGAAAAAGCTAGATGTAATTGGGTGGAGTGCACTAAAATCGCTTTGAAATGTTTCCAAACATAGTGAGAACTATATAAATTCGCTATTTAAAATCCAGGAGATTTCAGAAAGTATTCACCAAAATAAATTAAACTTCTTTCTTCGTCTGCTTGATAATAAAACAACTTCAGACATTATCTTTTCACAACTGAAACACCCCTTATTTAAACATTCGTTTGTTGGCGATATCCAGGACCTATGCCGTTTTCGGATGCTAAATTTTCAAAACTTAATTCAAAATAAAAAGAAGATAAAAATAGCACTTTCTAAAAGTGAAATTCCCTCCAAAATTGAACAAACTTTGAAATATGGAATAGAGTGCTGGAATGTGAAAGAACAAAAAGGTATTTTTAAACAAATTCTGGAAGAAAAAATTCTCAAGTGAAAATCACGAGAAACAACTTTCTTATTTTTCTTTTTTACCTTGTGACTTACATTGGGTGTTAAATAAATGAAATAATAATAGTTTTTCTTATTCTATTTGATTTTGTATTCAATGGCTGATTATTGCCGTATAGACATGAAACTTAAAGTACAATGAAAAAAGTTTGTGCTTTTTCACCTAAATATATATATATATATATATATATATATATATATATATATATATATATATATATATATATATATATATATATATATATAAATATATATATATATATATATATATATATATATATATATATATATATATATATATATATATGTATATATATATATATATATATATATAAATATATATATATATATATATATATATATATATATATATATATTCATATACATATATATATATATATATATATATATATATATATATATATATATATATATATATATATATATATATATATATATATATATATATATATATATATATATATATATATATATATATATATATATATTTATATACTCCTAGATCTACTTTACGGTGACATGCGCAAAAATTCTACTATAAGGCGACATAGCAGTTTTTACCACAAAAAAAAAATTTTTTTGCGCTATAACGACTTCACTCATTTTATAATTACTCCTTTGAGCATGTTCTATTGAAATTAAAATAATTGCACTTCCCCACAGTGATATACAAAAAAAACTGTTACCTTAACGTTTATTCTTCTGTTGATTTTACTCAGTTGCGTCACCTTAGGGTAAAACATCATTGTGAAAACTTATCAACTATGAAGGAAAGCCTTAACAGATGTTAGCGAAATAATAAATTTAAGTTAATAAGACTTGGTTCTTATATTAAATAGTAAAAAACTAAGTTTTGTGTTTCGCTAAAGTAAAAAATAAGAGTTTTAGTGAAAAAAAAAACTATATTTTTTATTTGCGCATTTTATTCGCACACTTCGTGCTAAAAGTTTAGAAAATAGTAAAATATAGTCGACTAACTCCTAAATTATGTTTTAATCTTAAAAATAATTATATATATACATATAAAAACACTTAAAATCTTTCAAATGTACAAACTGTCACCATATGGCATTTGTAGGCAAATTTGCCGTTTGATACAATAAACACTATCAAAACTGCCTTTTCCATATCTCCCTAAAAAAATTTTAGTTTGATCCAAAATTTATTTTTTATATTATTTAAATAGATACCTAAAGCTAGGTAAAGTTTAATCTATAATGCGCAAACAAAAAGCCATTAAATTTGAATCAGAAACGTTAAGGTGACCACAAATAGTTGCCTTAACACAACTGTCGCCTTATAGCGCGTTTTTTAGCACGTTTTGTCGCCATTGAGTATATCTAGTGATATATATATATATATATATATATATATATATATATATATATATATATATATATATATATATATATATATATATATATATATATATATATATATATATATATATGTATATATATGTATATATATGGTTATAAACATATTTTAAGTTATATATATATATACATGTATATATACCCAGTGGGCACAGGACCTAAAAAAGACGTCCTTAGGACGTTCAAATCGCGTCCGTCCGTCCCATTAAAATTCTAAACGTCTTTTGAACGTCTTATTCGCGTCCAATAATTTTTTTCGTCCAAAAAATATCCAGAATGCTTTATTAAAT